TTAAAGATAACGGTTTTCCTGTTTTTATTTCGCTTTTATGCGAACCGTTTGTTTGTTTGTTCTTGTATTAGATACTTAGGTATTTTTGCTGATAAGTTTTGGGGTCGAATCATGCTTGAATTAAGAATAAAAATACCAGTCCCTATTATGACGTTTTGACAAATTATAGCTGTGCCCTGCGGTGTAACCCGCGGTTTATTAGAGATATTTTACGTAAATCGTCTTTCTTCTGGAAGGATTGGTTGTTTATGCCAATTGCACCAATTTTTCATCAAACGGTTTTTCACTAAATCCAAAATGTAATAAAATGTTTCTTGAGTCATTCTTGTATATGTATAAAATCTTTGATCATCAATTTTTTTTTTTACAAATAAATGATGGTATTCTCCGAAACGTTTCCTTTCTCTATTTATAGGATGTATAGCTTTTTTTCGCATTTTTAAATACACATTTTCTAACAAAACCAAATCATCGTCCGATGAGTCCGACATTTTGCTTGATCTGCTTTAATCGGCTTCCTTTATGTAGTAAGGATCGGCGCCGATAAGCGCCGATAGGTGCCGATCGGCTTTCGGCTTTCTTTTTTGTATATGGCCTATGTGTTAATTCAGGGTGTCATCAAAAGGTAAACACTCACAAACTTTCGCCTTTATTATATTAGTGAGATTAGCTATTAATGTTATTGGTATTAGTCGTATTCAGACCGAAACTGCAAATTTTCACTTTGTATGTAGATTACCTTCTGTAACTTATTCTATTTTGTGGATCTGCCTTGGTTATGGTCGTGCGTAGCGTTGCCAGGCGTCCGCCCAAAACCGGGCATAGTTCGGCTTTTTGATTGCGTTTCCGGCCAAAATAAACGTTGTCCGGCTTTTGTTAGGCTTTTTACTTTTCGCGAACGAGTGAGCGCCGAGAGTGGCGGAGTGCAAGCAAATTGACTGGTCGGTCGCTTTTACATACAATTTTTTGTCGTACCTAATAATACTGAGCAACAAAATCTTCAATAATGTAGCTCTGCCCGCTCACGTGGGGGGAACACGTGCCTCTTACAACTTACGTGAAGAAGCAAAATGCAGGCTGGCAGGGTGAGGATGGCTGGTGTGGCAGGTAGAACTGCTGTATCAGCTATCTTCGCGTCTGGACTTCACATTAACTTAACATCAGGTGGGGTGGAGTCATTTGTCGGATCTATCTATAAATAAAAAAAAAAAGGTATCCGGCCAAACTGGCTGGTCTGTCCAGTTATTAGGTGTTGCAAAACTTTTACCCATATTGTGCCGCTTTCGAGGGGGACGGTCGGTTTCCTGAAATCCTTTCATAACTCCTACTAATAATTGTGTCAAATCCATTTTGAACCAACGCCGACGTCAAAGAGGAGGTTGAGAACCTCCTTTTCGACTTGTGTTTTTTTTAATGATCAAGTAAGTAATGTGCTTAAAGTTAAAATTAATCATTTACATTATAAATCTATTGCTTTTGTATCTACTAATAATGAAAATCAATCTTCCCTATTTCGAATTGTGCTTACCTTGGGGCTAGGCTAATTGGTGTGAGTGTTGGAAATATTTATTATTATTATTTAATAAGCTTTCTTTAGTTAACCAGAGTTTAAAAATTCTCTCTAATCTGTGGCTCATTCACACAGAAATTCTGTACACAGAGTACCTTATTATAACCGGAAATGCATAGATGATACCTGATTTTAAAAGTTATTATAACTTTAAAAACAGGCAATCTATTAATCTACATGCTTTGTATACCTGAATCTGATACTTAATTTCGGTACTTGGTTTGATTTCCCTAGTTTGCTATATAACTTATTTGTTTTTTATTATTTTAATACCTATGAACCTATATGCAAACATAACCTCAAAATCATTCAGTGTATATGGTTTATAGAAGTTCTCAGGGGTGTACGTCAATAATATTCGTTTCTACAGTAATTTATATATAATTTCGAATCTAGGAAACAATTTTTCATGATTATTGGTCTTTAGGCCAAACATGTATGGAAGCTGAGCAAGCTCCTTTACTAGAAAAAGATTCCACTCCGTCCAGGGGGGCATTCGCCTAACGGGATTGCTATGGAGAACGCGATCTCTTAAGATTTGATTTTGTTATTACTCGGCCGCCTGAGGTTCTCAAATGCCTCGCGCCCGTTTTTTTTTGTTTTGCATTGGTAATAACAATATTAACAGAAAATAAGCGTGAGGTATTTGAAAACCTTCGGCGGGCGGAAATAACAAAATGAAATCGTAAGAGATAGCGATAGCTATAGCAATCCCGTTAGGCGATTAGCCCCCTGGTGTCAGGCAGGATTCGAACATGCACCTTCTGCTATTTAGGCGGTTGCACTAACCGCTATGACCTAGACCGTATTGGCCGTGTCGAATTTTTCCTAGTATTTTAAGGCTGCAAGGCAGTGTCATCTCTTCTTATCGTAGATAAACCACAATTTCAAACGAAATACTGATACAAGTATCTATATATGTACTATGTACCAACATATTTAGAATGCAGCACCTGTTATTTGATTTATTAACGTAATAAATTATAAGTAAGTATCCCTAGTGGTCAGGTTACGACGGGACAGGTATGGAAATTTTAGTCCAAAAGTAAGTAAGTATCCCGACGAAACTACTAATTTTTTAATTGATGTATTGTCATCATCAACCCATGCTCGTCCACTGTTGGACATAGGTCTCCCCCAATGCACGCCCCTGCTCCCGATTTTCTGCCACTCTCATCCAGCACACTCCAGCCAGCCTATGAATGTCATCATCCCATCTTGTCTCAGGGCGACCTACACTACGATTACCAAGTCGTGGTCTCCACTCAGAACTTTCCGGCTCCAACGGCCGTCAGTTCTACGGCTAATGTGACCAGCCCACTGCCACTTCAGTTTGCTAATTCGGTGGGCTATGTCGGTGACTTTGGTTCTCTGTCGGATAACATCATTTATGTGCAATAGATGTATTTTAAGCAATCGGAATGAGCGATTACTAGTATTATTTATTCTTACGATACAGCACTACGTTCAATATCGATACTTAATGCACCCCAAGATCCAAAGATCCATATCGGATTAGACAAACCGAACATATACAAAGGTACAAAGTAAATGTATGGAGAGCGCGCCTTCAGATACCCGTCGCACCGCGCCCGTCCTTACTGACCGATCCGAAGATTATTAACCGTATGGGCCAAATCGTATCTACTCGCTCTAACCACATGATGACATATGAGATTTTACAGAAAAGTGTTCCATTAACATTTCTCGGTCTTTCAATTTCCTTCAAAAACTACAAAAACGTTGTATCGTCGAACTTCAAAGTTTTAATATGAAACGGAAGAAAAATATCTCAGACTTGGCTGTATTAGCCGGATTTATTTGCCTTCCATTCAACAATAATATAAACCGGGGGGAATCTGAGAAACTATATCTGGTAGCCCTGTCGCCTTCAGGTAGCCTTTTTCATTTGATATCACCAACCGGGAACCCGACGGGAAAACCTATTATGTGCGCCCAGCCTTAGTAGTTGTGCATCCGCAGCCGGTCTACTTGTCAAAATGTTTACAAATTCTATAGCACTCGTGGTCAAAGTAATAAATCAAGTCAAAGTAAGTGGCAGTCAAGTCAATCTCCCTTTCCCTATGTTTCAGTAAATGTGTGTGGGATTTACTGGAACCTTCCCGTGGACTTCTTGAGGTAACGTCGAAAGACACTTTCCGCTATTTTGTTTCACTTGCCAACACTTGTGCATGTTCCCGAACACTTAGTGGTTAATAATCCATTATTATACACTAACATCCGCCACAACACATTTTTTTACAAGAAAAACAAAACTGCTTAATTGACGCTTTCCGATCCCGACAAAAAGTCCACCCGGTCTGTTATCAGTGGCATAACATGGCGGATGACAGGAGGGGACACTATTTTTTTTTGTAGAAAAAATAAAAAATATCTTGTCACGGCGCGCGGCGATTAGTAAGCGGCCACCATAGCTTATAAACGCTAACGATACCATAAATATCACTCGCATAAATGCCCACCCTGACCCAATCCCCTACCCCGTGGAGCAACCCCGACGCGATGTATTTAACGCATGTTCAACTATAGGTCTCATAGAGAAGGTTTGTGCTGTCATATCCCTTTCGAAGGGGACATTATATGCAGATTATGAAGAACATCAGCGGTATTCCTTACCTTACTATTCTAAGTAACTGATTTAAAATCACAGACCTGAACATGACCTTAAATGACTCCCATTAAAACTATAGAATGTTTAGTTAATAGTGACGTCAACTAGGTACCTACCTGTCTAATTTGTCTACTCAAATAAATAACTAACAGGCGACAGCCGTCAACAATTTAATTATGAAGGTCAGTTTAACTAAACAACCATTCATTTTGTAATAAACACAATGATGTTCGCAAGATCCGTGGTCTATAGCCACCTACTTATAAATTGATGTCTATTCCAAACTACGTACCTAAGTACCCACCAAAGACTCATTCTTTGGGACCGATATTTCATAAAATATGGCCATGACTTGCTCAAAAATATGAAATGAATTTTTAGATTATTGATTCCGTAAGGCGCGCTCGACTATACAATTTTTATATAAGTACCTACGAAGTAAGTAATACAAAAGCGCACACAGAAATAAGTTTATGTCCATACGATAACTACACATACGGGAAGTTACGCACACTGGCACGGTTTTACATAGAAAAACAGCCGTTCTCCTCATCTAGCCTATGTATACGTAGTATAGAAAAAAACTTCAAAATAGTATGGCTTCACACACATTCTAGCGACATTATAGGAATGTCTGACGAGAAAGTATGAAACATGAAACGCGATAAAGTTCAGTTTCGTTTACACATTATTAACAGCTGTCTCGTTCTCGCAACCGAACGCTTTCGAGTTTTCCCGTTCTCGATCCAACTCAAAATACGCCAAAAATGACGTCGAGGCAGTGTTGTTTCGAAAACAGTGTCTCGCGTTTCTTTCAACGGGTACCGCGCGCACGTTCACCATTTAATATTTGGAATTTTCCTACGTTCTGATTACTGCTCGTAGTAAGTTTTACAAACAAATTCGTATCCGTTTCGAATTTTTTGCGATTAGCGCCAAATAGGAAAGTCGTAAGTGGTGCCGTCGATAAGGTTGACTTTCGTTCGCCGCATACTATTAACCAACCGATTTCAGGCGTCATAATCAAAGAGTATTTATCTCGTTACGACAGCGTGTTTTCAAATCGGTAGTACTGCGCTGAGAAAATTCTGACAGCTCGGAACCGTCACAAGAAATGATGTCGTTTTTATTACATTTTTTGATAAATTATTATTCTAGTTTCTATTCGAAGACGTTCCTACGGCCTTATCGATTTTCCTATTTAGCGCGCGATTGTATTTTGTACTTTTTCGAAAGGCGTGCGGCGGGGCGTCTACTAGGCGCTTTCGAAAAACATTATAAAAATTTTCTTAGCGGGCGAACGGACGTCGAGAGCGGTGTTGTAAATTGGTAATAATTCCGTTCATTACACAGTAATACAGTGCCCGAATATGGGTTAGCGGTAAGGAATTCTGAGATCTTGCGACCATTGACTTCTGTGATACTTTAATTGTTTGTTTGTGTGTGTTTTCTATTTTGTTTGTATGATAGTTGTGTCTAGTGCGTTCCGATCGTGAAAGTTAACTATAGAATTGTGTTTTTGTGCTGTTACGGATTTCATGGATGCCTGGAAGTGATACCAATAAGGATATTTAGAACTGGTGTGGTCACAAGTGGACAGCTGATCACGAACCAACCTAATGTAAGTACGTAGCTACCTAACGAGACTACTCATTCAAGTTTTGTTTCTAGAATGGCCCGACCTACACGGTCGCATAAGTCACGTTCTATTAATTCTTTAAACGAAATAGTTTGTATAGTAAAATAAATACATAACCCAATATAACCTTAAACATTCAATTGACTACCTACCAATAAGAAGAAAGGATGAACTCATTCAAAAGTTTAAGATTACTTATCTGTAATTTAACAACCAATACAAGCAGTGGACTTTTAACATTCCAAAGCATTTAAACACAAAAAGACCTATTCACCTATCACACAGCCAAATATTTAATGTGTGTGTGTGTAGTTTTGTTAACAATTTAACTTATTAAAATGACAAGTGCACCTATTGCCCAATGCCAACACAAATCAAACAGGAACCTAATTTAAAAGTTACAACTTTAAGTAACAATAAATTGATCCACATCAGTAAATGTATTAAAAAAAGATTGTTTTGAAGTGTTTTCAGCACTTATTGATTTGTCATCAAAAAGTTCAGCTTGAGATCAGTTCAGGTTAAATAAAAATGTACATGAAATACTGACTTTTTTTTGACCAAGGTGACATTGTGATCAATATATCATAATATTTAATAATTATATTTTTTTTTACCTACCAGACAAGTTATAGTTGCTTTAATACAGATAACAGTTTTATAGAGCATTTATCAGTTGTTTTAGTTTTCTGTTTGACTTATCCATGTGTAAATCATATACTTATTTAAATTCCAAAAATGGTTTTGTTAACTGAAAAATAATGAAATAACCATTCTTACTTTACAATTTACATATTATCGTAAGGCTGGTTAAGTGCTGTTAAGTCACTGTTAAAGTAATAACAAACAATTAGATCTTACCATATATTAAAAAAAAATAAGCAAAGTAAATACATATTATTGATAACATATCACTTTCATGGCTAACCGCTATTGTTTTAAATAGATTTTTTCTCAAATCTGCTGTTTGAATTCAAAGTAGGTAGAAGTATTTTATTTTGATTATGTTATAAAAATAGGCAGCACCTCATTTAAATTATAAAGAATGCAGTTATATAATAACCATTGATTGAATTTTTTTGTAAACTTAAATGTTTTAGAACATGTTCCAAAGACATAAATCTGAGTTATTGGTTGTTTTACTATTATTTAGTGAGTAAATACGATAAAATAATTGATTGGTATGCATTTTGTATGGAAGTATAAGAAACATAATCAATTCTTAATCGTAGATGTAATCAGGGCCAGATTTAGCGTTGTGGAGGCCCTAGGGCAATGAGTGGAGGCCCGTATTTTGGGCCAGGCCTCTTATGATATTCACACTCCCTGGTTGGTGATCGGTTCAGGTTCCGTTTCTTTTCTCTATTGTGGCAGCCACAGGCACGCCGACCCCAGATGTAATCAGCTATTACTCTGGAATAATTGTTTTTGTTTATCACATAAAGTACTTAGAAATGTTTAAATGCTCTAACTGTTTGTGATATCAGTCTTATTTATTCTTACAGACCATTTATATGCAAATAAAAATTGATTTGATTAATTTATACTCCCTAGCTGTAATTATACCTATAGGGAGACAAAATGAACATGCAATATAGGTAATCCAAATTGGGTAGGTACTTATAGAATTCATATTTTAATGTGGAAAAATTTAAAGATATTTCTAGATAAATTTCATATTGGAAGGACTGAATTATGTTATTACAGATTATATTTAAGAAAAATCTAGATGCATATAATTACTGTTATGTATTTTGTAAAAGTACCTTATCATTAATTAAAAATCAAGTATCAAAAGCAATATACTCTTGAACCCCACTTTATTATTTTGTCAATTACTTTATATTCATAATGATTTTATTTTCAATTGACCCTTTTATGTAAGTTTTCAATTACAGAACTAATTCACAATATTTAGCACATGACTCGGGTATTCCAAAACTAGTTCTGGAATCTGTTAAAAAAAGAAAATGACATAAACATATTTATTAAATAAACCTATATATTGCTACGTTAGTATTACTTAATATTTTTGTTTACTAGGAGGAATTAAGTAATAATATTTTAATTTAATTTATCAAAAATTTCAAACATAATTTATTTAAACAGAATAAACTTTTGTTTGCATTGTGTTTTGTTACACATCACCATCATCATCATCACATCACATCACAAAACTGTAATGAAATCAAGAAAAAAAAAACTTATATAATGATCCTAATATTAATTTATTTTTATAATTTAAATAACTAACATAATAAATATGCGCAACTTAAATGACATTTTCACACGGCCATTATATCAAGAAGTCTAATCACATAATAAAAATCAACAGAATAAGCATCTAAGACTAAGAACTCACGGTGCTATGAAATTTGTGTTTTACCTAGAAACGCAAAAGCAAATTTCACGACGCGATTAAGGATAAAACACACAGAAGCCGGAGGCAGAGCGGAGGCGTCGATGGTTTTGTATAGTTCAAATTAGTATGATAAACTACACGCACAAGCCGGAGCGGTGGCTAAGCGGGTTGTACCGGTGACACAACCAAGCAGCGTCCGCGGCGCGTGGTGGTGGCGGAGCGGTGCGATACCGGGGCGAAGGCGTGCGGCGTGATCGTTGTAATATAGGTAGTGTATGGAGCAAGTTCACAGAGCGGCTGCGGTGTGGAGGCGTGTTACTAGCGGTTTATTCGGTTGTATTTTTTACAGAATTAATCATCGAATAGTAATATTTCAATAGTTTTCGGAGAAATTAGACATTTTGTAAACTTTCCCCACAAAGCACGCAAAGACGTGACCAACATACAGGAGGCACCGAAACGCCTCCGCGACGCCACAAAGCGGGGTGGTAATCGCCTTTCATAGACTTACGAGACTTGAGTTTTTAGATTTTTTTTAGCTTGAAATGGACTCTGCTGATCATTTCTATAGTATAAAATGTCATGCGAGACAATTAGAAGTACAAATAAAAAACTTATTAAATTCTATCTATTTCAATTGTACTCCTAATTCCACCTGTCTCGCACTACATTTTATACCAAGAATTATCGAAATGACCAGCTGAATACATTTCACGCAAAAAAATACTCCCAAAAACTCAAGTCTGTAAGGTCCACTTGCACAAGTTCTGTAATCAGGGGTTAATCATGTTTAGCACATCATTCCCTCTTTGTCAATTGTTTAACTTCATTAACACCAACAATAGTCTTACAACTGGCGATTATCACTGAGATAAACAAATTACGACGTATCAAAACAAATTAATTAGTAGACAAATTACTTTATTTACTTACTACGACAGGTCATCATCATTATATCAGATAAACGACACCTACTGGTGAGCACAGGCCATCCCCCAAGTTGCGTTGCCATCTCTAAAAATTAGTAAACCGGACCTACCCGCTGGAAAAGCCAGACTTCTGGGTCCCACGGCCAGGCGGACCAAAACTAAAAGATTTTTTCACTACAAGTTCAAATAAAACATGTGTTTTTATAAGAAAGTCTTAATTGGTATTAGGTATCATTTTCATTTGCATCTTTATTGAAGTGCGTGTGCGGCTTGCTTGCTTTAAAAGAAAAAAGGCTAACAAAAGCCGGACAGGCCAGAAGCAGTCAAATGAACCCAGACAAGAGATCAAGAAGCCCAACACTTTTCGGGTTTATTCGGACGGATGGCAACGATACCCCCAAGGTTCTCCGCACCTATCGGTTCTGCACAACTCGCAGCCATAATCCGCTTCCCGCGACCTTCACTAGATTGTTATTCCACCTCGAGGAAGGCCTACCCACTAAGCGTAATCTAATTCGCGGTCACCATTTCTTGCCTTACCACCCCAACGATGCGGTGATCGGTTCTCTTCGCTATCTACGTGTCCAGCATAATCTTTTTTGAGGGCCTCGATATCGAAATCAAAATTATCGATACCTACTTAGTACTAACTGCTATCGAAACAAAAGGATTTTAGTAACTCAGCCCTGGTTTGGGAAACTTTTAGCCAAGCCTTGCGCTATGGCAAATAAGGATATGAAGCAAAAAAGTCGGGCAGAATTCGAACATAAATTGGTAGGTTTGTCCCCTCCCTAGTGAGTTTTGAAAAGCTCTAATGATACATTACAAACGAACGGCACAATTCAATCGGTGTCGCCGTAATGATAAGAATAATGCTTTATTTGTTCTCCTCACAATCCCATTCACAAAAAATACAAACTTAATGAATTAATTTTCTTTAGAAAATATTGTGGAGAGACCGCAGCCTGTATCTCAGAAGACCAGTCCAGTACCCTTAGCATGAACCAATATCGAATTCGTATCGTTTGCGAGTCCGAAATGTCATTGTCAAATGTGTACTGATTTTGAGTTTTCGTTACGTACTTTGTGACGCTGCTGTTCAAGTCTTCATACAAAATTTGACATTGACATTTAGCACTCGCAAACTAATCGAATTGGAATAGTTTGCAAACCGAAATGTCAATGTCAAATTTTGTATGGAAACTTGAACAGCAGCGGCACAAAGTACGTAACGAGAACTAAACTAAAACTCAGTACACATTTGACAATTACATTTCGGACTCGCAAACGATACGAATTCGATATTGGTTCGTGCTAGGGGTATAGTTCTCGTAATGTAACTTAATAGCTTCGATTGGTGCATTTCAAACAAATTTTACAAGTAAGTTAGTCTGCAGAATCAGAATTTTATTATTTGTGAAACGTAGGTTAGTGTTTTAAGTTTACATGATATATAAAATTTTTGTTAGTATCACTACTTTTTTACCTTAAATAGATAGAGTCTGTGCGGAAAGAGAATGGGCGTGGCGAAAAACGGAACTAACATTAAGATTTTTGTTTGGCAATCAAACCCAGCAATCTGTAAAACGTCAAAGTTTTGTATTGATACGGATTTGTTTGTTTTTGTGATTTCTTGCGGTTTTTTGTATTTAATCATGTCTAAAAGGGGTAAAACCTTACAAATACGGTAG